ATGGCTTGTTTATTTGCTTAGTACGTTAGTACCGTAGTACTCGGTACGGACAACTCATCACGGCGTGTTCTACATTTTTTCAGTGCCTTACTATGTTAGTACCTTAGTACTTGGTAGAGACACCTTATTACGGCTTGTTCTTCATTTGCTTAGTGCCTTAGTACGTTACTACCTTAGTACTCGGAACAGACACTCACCACGGCATGTTTATTTGCTTAGTACGTTACACAGGAAAAAACATCTGATTCCCAAATTGGGAATTTCTAAGAAATTCCCAAAGTTAAATCCCAATAACGGGTATTACATGGGAATTTGCATGAAATTCCCAAAGTAAAAACTCAGCATTGGGTATTACGTGGGAAAGTATACACCAAGATTGGGAATTAGTTAGGATTTTGTTACAGGAAAAAGTACAAATTCCCAAAATTGGGAATAATAAAGAAACTCCCAATGTAAAACCCAATATTGGTTATTACATGAAAAGCAGTGTACCAATCTTGGGAATTTAGTGGGACTTTTAAGACTATTTCCCAAACTGAAACCCCAATCCTGGGTATTACACAAGAATTTCAATAAATTTCCCATTGTTAAAACCCAACATTGGGAATAGTGTTGCAGACTTTGGTAAATTGGTGGAAACTTCTGCCCAAAAGATCAATTTCAAATTGGGAACTTTGCAAAAGGTAAAAAAGGAAGAGTTTATATCAAAATTCCAAAACTGGCAATTTCTCAAACTTGTAAAAAAGCAACTTTGCTAAAATGATATTGTTTTGGAAAAAATATGGGTGAAGCATTAGGCTTCGAGACAACTTCCCCAAATGTTGTTATAGGTTGTTGGACTGCTTCTATTTTATTACACTTTACTCCAACAATAAAAAGCAATAGTGGAGAAGGGGACATCCAAAGCGCCTGAGCACCATACTAGGGATACTCCCAGTGAGTTCAGTATCATTCAATGTTAAAATGCACAATTTCTATACTTTCCTCTAAGAGGTTTATGTCCAACAGCTGGGAATTTCATCAGTACGTGTACAGAAATGCATGGCAATTACAATGTGTTTGCATGTTTGGAACTTGACTTGACTTGACTTGACTATGACATAAAAATCAAGAGAGTTCCAAATTATAACATTGTTTGAAATTTAAAACCCTGAAAAATGATATGTTGACTTTGAATTATTGAAGAATGTCTTGGGCATATCAAAATCATGGTCAAGTCATTTGCCAATACATTTTTTGCTGTGTAAACTGTAAAACGTATTTACCCAGATCTGCATTCTTATCATCAGTTATTAAAAGTTAATACCTGTACCAAGATGATGACTGATTGCCTGAACATGAATCCTTTCAAGGAAACAGCAGCAATGTCCCTTAGAGTTCTTTAAACATTCGTCCATTACTCTGCCAATTTCCTGCAGATCTGCCAAGTATACTTTTGAAGTGTACTTGCTGAGGGCGTGTACCTTCACGAACCCAGAGACCTGATTGCCTACCCCAACGAGGATGGGGTATATAAAACTGCACCTGGACAGTTTGAGTCCTTTCCTGAACTGCTAACACCACTGCTCTCCATGGGTCTGGGTCATCACCCTTTATGAGTAACATATCACCCACTTCAGGATAACAGGGAACAGTAACACTGGAGAGTGGAAAGCACTGTCTCTGAAAGTCGATACAAATGTAAATGCTTGGCTCATTAAGATTTTCTGGATCTGGAAAAAGCATAACCTTCCGCTGGATTTTAGAAGAATGGACAATCTTTCAGTACTTGATGGCCTTGCTAAGGCTCCCTTGCTCCATTGGTGGAGTTGCTTTTCAGAGTTATAGATCACTGCCTGGAAGCAATCTCCAACAACAAATAAATGATATTCGTGGCTTACGTTTGTCCTTAGCAGCTGAGTAATAGTTAAAACACATTCATCGCCATCTTCAGCAGAAACAATTATGTTTTCACCTACTCTATAAAGCATTCCTTTGTTGCCATTAACACTGGTGAAATAGATACTACGACATTCTTGCGCCACATCACTAAGGCTTTCACCTGTTATACCTTGATCCTGGCCAAATTGAGCAAGGATGGAATTCCTTTGCACTTCTTCAAACAAATGAACAGGTTTTGATGCTCCAACTAGTATACCGTTAATTTTGGCCAGGTGATTTGCTTCATCACTGAAATGCTGTTTGGCATTTTCCAATTCAGCTAGAGATCCATAGTGTGCCTCCTTTGGATAAGAAACAGTTTCTGCAGAAGAGTTTCCTTGCGCTTTCAAGGAAGAACGCACCTTAAGAACTTCTCTGTGCAACTCTGCCCTCGCAAAAGTTATTTCAATATTTTTGAAGTTGGTTGATATTGCAATATAGCGACCAACTGCACGCTCAAAGTTGTAGCACCAAAAGTTATCTGGAGGACCAAAGTTTATCACATCCTCTTTAATGTGTGTCAGGTTATGATTGACAGCATGACAGTAAGTTAATCCCTGGCTTTCTTCAAGTAGAATATTATATCTTAAAACGGTTTCGTGAAAAATTGCTGTGGAGTCAATGGTCCACCCATTTCTTCCCTGACAATACAGATACTCAACAATTCTTGCTAAACATTCCCAGGTTTCAAAATGTTCTTCCGAAACAAGGCCTCCCAAAACTACTTCCGAGATGGGGAATGCAAACTTTTGAAAGTCTTCAGCTTTCCAGTACCCTATTCTTGAAAGCCTGCTCGGATATCGAGAAGAAAGAAATTCTGCAGTCCAGGGCACTTTAAATAGTCTTTCTTGAAGTACTTTCTGATCCAAAAGTTGATTAGATAGAAGGAAATTAAGGTTATTTCTTACAACTCCAAGAGCAACCGTGTGCATAACATCAAAAACACAGTGTTTGCGGTAATCAAAACCATATAATGCATGGAGACGATGAAGCACAGACAAACCAGTAAATCCTGATTCTTTTGCCATTTCCTGAGCCACAGTTCTTCTTTCTTCCTGTTCAATTAATTGCAATGTTTCAAGTTCAACATGAATGTTTCTTTTTGGCCATGGATACCTTGTCGATTTTCGGTAATTTCCATAGTAATAGTGATTACTACCAGGGTCCAAGATACTTCCACATTTGCAGCGTCGAGGGTTTTTTCCATAGAAAATTCCCTTACAAACCCCACAAATAGCAACATGGTCCCCAGTAACACACAAAATAAGATGCCTTAATTTTGCAGGCCCAGAAGGGAAGTTAGGCAATGTAAAGCTATAATTATCAACTGCGATGCCATTGATAAATCCATCTTCAATTTCATCAAGAAGAGGTGACAAAAATGGATCCAGAGATATCGGCCTTCTTTCTGGCAGCAAATACGCAGGCGCAAAACTGACAACAAATATCTCAGATTGTTTTTGTCTGTCTTCCTTGGACATATTAGCTATCTGAACTTCAATAGCTCCAGAGCCATGATTGTATTTACCATCAAATGGCTGAAATCCATCCCAATGAAGAATGTACGCTAAGTTTCTTGGATCTCCAGTTGCTTTCTGGATAACATGGGGGAAACTGACTGCACAGGATAAACAGGTTACCAGCTTTTGTCCATCATTTCCATCAGGAGAAGAATTGATATCTTGGACTGAGACAACCCCACCACAATTATCACATTTGGCAGGTAATTGCCACTCTTCCTCAGGATTCCAAAACCACTGAAGCTCTGAGAAACGTCTTCCATCCCATATCTCACTTTTGCATGTGAAACCCCAACCATCTTGATTTTCTTGTCCAAGCCAATGATCCTTTTCAAACCAGTGTGACAGCACCTTTTTGCAAAACATAGGATCACTTGCCCAGAGGTTAATCTTAGGACCTAAGCCAAGATAGTAGTAACGAATAGTTCCCTTTTTGTTACAGTGAGGACATAAATCATCTTTTGATGACATTAAACCAAAGTGACATCTGTGGCTCTCATCAAGGCAAATTATGTACTTTTTAGCATCCCTGTAGCCGACAGAATGCAAAAGTACCTCTGCATCTTTCCAACATTTTGGCCACAAATGTTAATACTGCTCACTAAATCCCATCATGAATAGTTTCTTTCCCCAGTCCAAGATATGATCAAATCCAATGTTTGACAATTTTAGTTCAAGCTGCAATTGTAGAGCATCAAGAGTTACATCTATTATTTGCTCAGTTATTGTTCTGGTTGGGTCTACATCACCTGCATGAACGTGTAATTCATTCGATTCGTTTTCTTCAGGAGTACCAGAATCAAGACTATCCACGAATGTGTCTGAGTAATCAAACATCTCTTGATCTTGGTCCACAGCATGTAGAACTTCACTAGATGATGACTCCTCAAGGCCTTCTATTTCCTCTTTGTGCAAGCCTAAATTTCCAGTTACCCTTGAACTATGTTCACGCTTACGATGTCTGAATGCGGTCGCTCTTGAGACAGTATCCGGTCACTTCGTTTCATGACCACTTCGTTCCAAGTGTAAACTAAGCGTGTAAACTTCTAATCTTACAAAACTAGTAAACGGTATACGCCATCTGTTGTGACGGCCATTTTGAAACTTGTGAAGTACCTGCCGTGTGCGTGGAATCTGGGACTACCGGAAACAACTATACGTATACACGTTGATCATAGCAACCAGATCAAAGTAAACCTTGATTTCATTATTTCAACATCGCTTTACTTTTTTATCAGACTTGAGTAAAGATGAACCTGCTTGTTATTACTAAGTTAACCTTTCTTTACAGTATTTATTAGTTTAAATGCTTTGATGCTTTTGGTCATTAAATGTGCGATAACGGAAACAATAGGCAACAACGTTAATTAGTTTTATTGTTTAGTGTGCTTTGTGCGCGCGTGCCTAAAGGTGAGACTGATTATTGGATCCTAGACAACTTCATAAAAGGTCGATTAAAAGCCTTTACGCAGTCGAATCAACTTTCAGCTACCTTCCCAATCATCAGTTAGTCATCATTCGTAATCGTTGAAAAACAGTTTTTTTAAAAACTATTACACAATGGATTCCTGTATTGTCTGCGATAACCTTGTTTGTCCTCGTCAACAAGCCCTCCTTTGTGAGGGATGTGAGCGTTGGCAGCACCGTACCTGTCAAACGGGCATCTCCCAGCTTGATTATCGTGGAGCAGTCCGTTCCGGGCAATCAATCAATTGGCACTGTGTGGAGTGCGAGAACCCCATCCTGAACAGTACTCCCCTACTGTTTACCGATGATGAACTAGAACAGTCCATGGTACATTAATGTAATCTCTTGTTAGTATTTTACCCTATTACCCCTCCAAATATTTTCCCTCTCCTGTTACACTCAGTCGATCTAATTGTTACATATTTTTATCTCTTTTTCAGTCCGACTTACCAGCCAGTCCTGACGCTGACTTTGAGCCTCCATCTCCAGCCAATCGGTCCAACTTACCATTCAGTCCTGACACTGAGTTCGAATCCCCATCTCCATCCAATCTGTCCGACTTACCATTCAGTCCTGACCCTGACTTCGAGCCCCCGTCTCCAGCCAATCAGTCCGACTTACCTGTGGATGATGAGTCATCCTTAGCTGAATCGCCGACCGCGAGGCAAAACCTCTCCAACCCCTTGGACATCAGTTTCCAGGTCATTAATGACTGTACCAACAAAGGACGTCCCAAGCTGATAGACAGCAGAAGCTTTAGCTATGGCATCAAACGTCGTAGAGCCAATGCAACCGACTGGGTGTGCACCATAAGACCTAAGGTAAATATAGCTAATTGACTTTTGATTTTTACTCGCCAGTTTAAAGTAAGATCTTTAAATTAAAGATGGGACGAAAGGTATCAACAGAGGTTTTGAAAAAAAAAAATGCAGATTTTAAGCTTGTTAAAAATGTTTTCTTTTTTACTAGGTCAACCCATGTAGAGTCAACGTCATAGAACGTGGTAACGGTGTATACGAGCTCGGATCCAACGCACACAACCATCCAGCTGACGTCGGAGCAGCGTCAGCCGCAAAGATCACTTCCAAAGTCAAGGCCAGAGCAGTCGCAGATGTCTTCAAACCAGCGTCCACCATCGTCGAAGACGTCCTGTTAGAAGACCTTGATGACATCCCGTGCCCCAGTTTGCCCAGGCCAGAAAACATTGGAAGGGCAGCTAACCGTCACCGTCAGAGACTGAGACCCAAAGACCCACAGGACTTAGAGTTTGAACTAGCAACTGACCGTATCCCATCAGAGCTCCTGCGTGCTGACCTGAGAGTCCGGAGTCGGAGACACCTGGTTTTTGCCGCTGATCAGCAGCTCGAGTTCCTTGCCCGTGCCAAGTCTTGGTACATCAACACCACATTCAAGCTGTGCCACGGACCTTTCAGTCAGCTTATGACGGTGAATGCCTTCATCAGAAAGGATGACCACGTGAAACAAGTCCCGCTCCTGTTCATGTTGATGTCCGGACGCAAAAAGTCAGACTACTGCAAGGTCTTTGAGGAACTAATTGAAATCCTGCCATCAGTCCCAAAAGTGCAGCAGATCACACTGGACTTCGAAAAAGCAACCTGGGCGGCCCTGAGAAAAGTTCTCCCACACGCCAATCTCCATGGATGTGTGTTTCACTGGACGCAAGCCCTCTGGAGAAAGGTAAGATAAATTTGATTCAATATTCATGTGCTCAATTGTATCGTTTGATAGTTGAATGAACTATAGTACGATAGAAATTGAGAGCAAATAGTTTGATTGTTTAAGTATAAATCTAACGGACGTTCAAAACTTAAAAACACGTTCTAGAATGGAATGAAAAGATAGTGAGTAGTGCTGCCAATCAGAGTACAACAGAATGCGATTAGATTTATATTTTTATACGAATAAGTTTCTATATATTATTTACTAGGTGCAGGACCTCGGTCTCCAAACCGCTTACCGTAATTTCCGGTCGTTAACCCGCGGGTAATCTGTTGATTTTGCATTAAACGCGCGCCACTGCGGGTAATAGGGAGGTGCGGGTTATGTGACAATTTTAAAATCTAGTGGTAGTTGAATTGAAAAAAATTATCATCAACATACGTTTCCACCTCTCAAATGAATTTTATTGTATTAAGAGTGCCGCAAAGCGGCACGAAAACATGATGCCGACTCGAGTTTATTTCACCCATAATTAGTTGCGCGACGAACAAATTGCTATCGGCACGCGTGAAAACAAAACCTTGATGGTGACAAAAATAATCCAAAGATATCCGGCGCATCAGTAACAAATTTCCATTTAACACTAGCTTGAGCTGAAGAGAATTTTCCCGTTTTAAGGGACTTTTTAGGCCCAATAGAACCGGAGATATCGATTTTTTTCAGAAATCGCCGACAGTACTTTATAATTCAAGTTCTAATACTCACCCAGCTTTTTTTCAACAAATCAATATGGCGCCGAACGATCGCTCGCACAAAATGTGATCACAAATTCGCATTCTGTCAAGTATGAAACGTTGAGATTTGGGCATGGTCCGCTAGTGTTTTTACTGTATAATCTTATCAATAAAGTACATGCTAATATTGACACAGAATTGTGCACGCGTCTGAATTTTTTTGACCTTTAAACTCGACAAAGACGCTTTCAAGTTTTCGAAAGTTGGATCAGACAACTTTTAAAAGACTGAAATGTATCACCTAAATGTCACGTTTTCGCCACCAAAAAGTTGAATAACATAACGTGCGGGTTATCCACCAGTGCGGGTAATCTGTTGACTTTTTCTTTCGCCGTATGCAATAATCGGTCGGTGCGGGTAATCGGCCGTGCGGGTAAACGACCGGAAATTACGGTACCGCCACAACCGGGGGACGTACAGCTTCGTCAGAAAAATGATGGCTCTGCCGTTCTTACCAGAACGAGAAATACGTCCAATGTTCGAAGCACTATGCAACGAGGCGTCAGGAACACTTATCGACTTTGCCGAATACGTATCCAGCACTTGGATCAACAGCAGCACCTGGGCTCCAACAGACTGGACGTGCTACAAACAGGCCATCCGAACGAACAACGACGTGGAAGGTTGCACAATGGCCTAAATCGGCGAGCTTCTGGAAGAGCACAACTGCCCATGTACCTCCTAATCCAGCTTCTTTACAGGGAAGCGAAACTGACAGCGATCCAGATCCGCCTGGTATCAAAGAGTAGCTGCGATGAATCCAGCGACAAAAGTATAGGGAGCTACAGCAGAGAATATTTGAGCTGTGGGACCAGTACGAGGCCAGGGAAAGGTCAGCCAGACGACTACTGAAGGCCTGCTCTTATCTTAATGGACCAGTAGAATTGTAAAAATAAGTTAATTAAGTATACCAAACAAAAAAAAACGGCTCTTTTAGGAGCCACTATATAAATGAAAGCAATGACCAACAGGAGAAACCTACGTAAAGTAGATAATTAATAACAATTACTTACATAAACAATGAAAATGCGAACGTGCGAAAGACTGAGTTCTATAACAATGGTGGAACGAAGTGACCAAAGGATGGAACGAAGTGGTTTGGAACGAAGTGGTCATGGAACGAAGTGGCCATAATTCCTTGAGACAGGCATGCCGTTGCAATCGTTGCAAGCACAATGAACATGCTCTGACTGGGAATCCTCGCAGATACAAATACAAATTTCCCAGGTTGTATCCACGCAAAACGCCATAATTTGTCAAATCTCGAGTTTTCCTTGATTGCCTCTTAAGTTAAAAGAGGGTTTCCCTTGCCTTTCGAATGATGCATGAGGAACATTTCGAATTATGCACAGAACTTTTTCCTGTAACACTCGATCGTGCGTGCTCATCCGCCATATTGAAATTGAGCCGACGGTGAAAATATCAGCGGAGATGTAAATTACCGAAAACGTGACTAAACGCCACCAATGAGAAACGTCCAAAGAACAGAGGCGGGGAAATTAGCCACTCAAGAGAGGTAATATATTACAAAAAACATTCTCCCGCGCTTTTAGCATTCAGTTAAAGGAAATGGTGGGCGAACACAGTGAGAGTCGTTCCCGTGCTTTTCTAACACCAAGACTTTCCTCTTCCAACGATTGTTTCTCATCCCAAATGGACAGCCCTGAAAGTGGAGATGCTGATGATGTATCAAGTGAAAACGACAGCCTACGAACATGTACACAGAAACAAAAAGTTAGACCGAAACAGCTTCCCTTTCCCGCCAGTTTGCTGGAAGGAAAAAGTGATGATGTTATTGTTTCAGATATAAATGTCTCTGGTAAGTTGTCGTTTAGTTTTCAATTTCGAAATTAATGCAAAATGATTCTCTTCTGTAATTCCCGATTGACAGTGGTGTTTTTTCAAAACTTCAGAGTGGACGTGCGAGGAAGTAAAGGGGTGGGTCATGAGCATCATCAACGATGAGAGCATTGCGAAGAGATTTGTGGAAGAGGAAATAACCGGAACTACTTTACTCTCCCAACGCATTCTAAACGACAACTCGATGGAAAGGCTTGGCCTTAACACGATTGGGAAGAAAGAAAAGTTTTCTTCATCAGTTCAGAAGCTAGGTTAGTAGAATTGAGCTTAAATATTTTAGATTAAGCTTACTGTGAGGCAGACATAGGGAGAAAAATGGTTTCTGTGAAACATTTATAATCCGTAAGCTTCTTTAGCCCCACTAGGCGAAAAATTTAGCATTTGATCACAAAGGATTAACTGGGAGAAATGCTTTCTTTTCAGTTTCCAATACATCTGTCAGTGAAGTTCTCGCGGGCTTCATGGTGTCACGTGGCTTTTCCCGCTCTGAAAGTGCAAATTCCAGAGTAATTTTAGAACGTTTTCTTTATTTTTCTCATGGCATGGGCTTCTACCAGTAACTGAATTCCATGCTTGTATTGTATATAGCTTGCATTGTCGATGTCCTCACATGGTTCTCTCCTTTCTCTTTTTTTTTCTTTTTTCTTTTTTACTAGTCACTAAAAGAGGATCTGTAAATGCTTGTACTTCTGTGGCGGGTAAACAGCTGGATGGCAGACAAAAAGGAAAACTAACCCTTCCAGATATCAGATCTCTTGATCCTGCTACAAAGTCAATTTACCTAACAGTGTAAGCATGATGTAACTACAGTATCACTGTCATAGAAAATAAATGTTTTCAGTGAAATGTGAAGAAAAAATATTTTGCAAGGCCTTTAGTCTCCGACTGTGAGGATCATAACAACAGGCATTTGCTTAGTGTTGAGTCAAATCAGACCAATAGATATTCAATATCTGGTCATTTGCACATGGAAATCATGGTACTTGAAGCTTGTATGTGGTGGTATTTTTAAGACTATTTATCTTCTTGCTCTTTCTAGGGTATTTTGACACTGCTAAATATCATCCAATACTCCTTGCCTCAAGAATTAATACTGCTGCATTTATTACTGTTTTAAAGCTACATCCTACTAACTTCTTTTTTTTTTATTCATTAGACGAACACGCATCCGTAGGGCCACAGAAAATGAGTTTCCTGGTAATAGTATTCCAACATTTAGAAGCAATCCAGAGGCAAGAAAACGACTAGACAAGTTAGTGAAGCAACTGGCCAATTCATGCTCAATTGAAGAAGTTAACTTTGGAGAAGGTACACTGTAGCTACATGTAGACAAGTTTTTTTCGCTTCAAACAAATTTATTATTATAATGTTTCAAACTTCCATCATGTGTTTAATTGCAGAGGGTATCCGGTCACATATAATGTCAGTGCTCAATGAAAGAAGGAGGATGGTCACCCTCGGATACAATTATGAGGAAGTATGTTTAAACAAAGGACCCCTCTCCATATTAACTTATTTAGAAAAGAGGAAGCTACCCTTAACAGCATACATTTTTTTGTGTGTTTATGTGCAGAGTTGTTCTCTCACATGTACTATATTGAACACATCTATTTAGGATAAAAGGAAGTCAAGCGAGATACAAGTGAAGGTGAAGGAAGCCCACCGTGCTCACAGATGAAAAGGCACAAAAGTGATCACAAGTCAGATAATCAGAGTGACACTGAAGATTTCAGGTCAAGCAATGCTGACGATAACTCTGAAGAAGGATCAGGCACAAATGGTAATGGTCAATTATAAATTTAAAGGGTAATGTGTAATCGTGATCATCATAAACTGGATATGGATAAACTGTTAAAGTTTCATAACTGGAACAATGTTTATCAATGCGGAGATGTGAATGGAAAACTTAATCTTTTTTGTACCAAGATTAAGACCATGTTTGATGAGTGTTTTCCGGGTATATCAGTACGTGTGTCTAATAGGGACCCCCCGTTCTTTTCTCCTCTAATCAAACATCTACTGGACCAACGGCGAAAATTGATTCGGCGAAGTAACATGTCAGGAAATTCTGTTTCGATTGAG